CGATCTGATCAGGCGCCTGAGGCGCAGCATTCGGCGCCTGAGGTGCCGAATCGGGTGCTTTGCTGCCGCTGGCTGCTGCGGGCTGCGGGATGCTGAACCACCAGGTCCCACATTCGGCGGCTGACGTGCTGAATCAGGCGCCTGAGGCGCAGCATTCGGCGCCTGGTGTGCCGAATTGGGTGCCTTGCTGCCGCTGGCTGCTGCGGGCTGCGGGATGCTGAACCACCAGGTCCCACATTCGGCGGCTGACGTGCTGAATCAGGCGCCTGAGGCGCAGCATTCGGCGCCTGGTGTGCCGAATTGGGTGCCTTGCTGCCGCTGCCTGCCGCTGGCTGCTGCGGGCTGCTGGATGCTGAACCACCAGGTCCCACATTCGGCGGCTGAGGTGCAGAATCAGGCGCCTGAGGCGCAGCATTCGGCGCCTGAGGTGCCGAATCGGGTGCTTTGCTGCCGCTGGCTGCTGCGGGCTGCGGGATGCTGAACCACCAGGTCCCACATTCGGCGGCTGAGGTGCTGAATCAGGCGCCTGAGGCGCAGCATTCGGTGCCTGAGTTGCCGAATCGGGTGCCTTGCTGCCGCTGGCTGCCGCTGGCTGCTGCGGGCTGCTGGATGCTGAACCACCAGGTCCCACATTCGGCGGCTGAGGTGCCGAATCAGGCGCCTGAGGCGCAGCATTCGGGGCCTGAGGCGCAGCATTCGGCGCCTGGTGTGCCGAATTGGGTGCCTTGCTGCCGCTGCCTGCCGCTGGCTGCTGCGGGCTGCTGGATGCTGAACCACCAGGTCCCACATTCGGCGGCTGAGGTGCTGAATCAGGCGCCTGAGGCGCAGCATTCGGCGCCTGAGGTGCCGAATCGGGTGCCTTGCTGCCGCTGCCTGCCGCTGGCTGCTGCGGGCTGCGGGATGCTGAACCACCAGGTCCCACATTCGGCGGCTGAGGTGCAGAATCATGCGCCTGAGGCGCAGCATTCGGCGCCTGGTGTGCCGAATTGGGTGCCTTGCTGCCGCTGCCTGCCGCTGGCTGCTGCGGGCTGCTGGATGCTGAACAACGAGGTCCCACATTCGGCGGCTGAGGTGCAGAATCAGGCGCCTGAGGCGCAGCATTCGGCGCCTGAGGCGCAGCATTCGGCGCCTGGTGTGCCGAATTGGGTGCCTTGCTGCCGCTGCCTGCCGCTGGCTGCTGCGGGCTGCTGGATGCTGAACCACCAGGTCCCACATTCGGCGGCTGAGGTGCCGAATCAGGCGCCTGAGGCGCAGCATTCGGCGCCTGAGGCGCAGCATTCGGCGCCTGACGTGCCGAATCGGGCGCCTCGCTGCAGCTGCCTGCCGGTGGCTGCTGCTGGATGCTGGATGCTGACCTACGAGGTCCCACATTCGGCGCCTGAGGTGCCGAATCGGGCGGCTCGCTGCCGCTGCCTGCGGCTGGCTGCTGCGGGCTGCTGGATGCTGAACCACCAGGTCCCACATTCGGCGGCTGAGGTGCCGAATCAGGCGCCTGAGGCGCAGCATTCGGCGCCTGGTGTGCCGAATTGGGTGCCTTGCTGCCGCTGCCTGCCGCTGGCTGCTGCGGGCTGCTGGATGCTGAACCACCAGTCC